AGGGGGCTGGGACATGGGAGAGTTTAGGCCCTAAAATTATTGAACTCAATATTGAGTCTGGAGGGCTGTAGGTCCCCAAGCGGAAAATGAGGTGTTTTTTCTCCAGCTTGCATTGGGCTTCGCTGGAACACTGCAGCAAGCCAGAGACAGAGATGTAGGCCAGGGAGCAGGGTGTTGCGTTAAAATGCCATATAGACTATGTCTGCCACCTGCCCTCCTCTACCTTCCTGGTCACTTCATCAAAGAACTCTAACAAATTTGTGAGGCATGATTTCACATGCACAAATTCAGGCTGACTGCTCCTAACCAAACACTGTCTTTCTGAATGCATGTATATCTTATCCCTCAATCTTCTCAAGTAACTTACCCACCACAGATATTGGCTTATTGGTCTATAGTTCCCAGGTTTTTCTTTGCAGCCCTTCTTGAATAAGGGCAAAATGTTCACTACCCTCCAGTCTTCTGGGACCTCACCCGTGGCTAATGATGCAAATATATCAACCAGGGCACCTGCAATTTCTTCCCACCTGCAATTTCTTCCCTAGCCTCTTAGTGTTCTTTGATATATCTGGTCAGGATCAGGGGATTTATCCATCTGCATACATTCTAATAAGTCCAACATCTGCTGTACTGTGATATGGACTGTCCCCAAGATATCGCCACTAACTTCCCCAAGTCTTCACGTCTTTCTCCACAGTAAACACAGAGGAGAAATATTTATTGAGGACCTCGCCCATCTCCTGTGGTTTCCACACATACATGCCCACTTTGGTCCTTGACGAATCCTATTCACTCTCTAGTTATTCTTTTTCCTTTAATATACAAAGAATCTCTTTGGATTCACTTTAACCTTCACAGCCAAAGCTATCTCGTGTCTGCTTTCCTCCCTTCTGATTTCCTTCTTCAGTAAACTCCTGTAACCCCTATATACCTCCAGGGAATCCCTTGATCCCAGCTGCCTGTTCCTGAGCCATACCTCCTTTTGTTTTGGTCAAAACCTCAATATTAATGTCATCCAGGATTTCCTACTCCTGCCAATTTTGCCCTTCACCGTCACAGGAACATATAAACCTTGACCTCTAGCTATCACACTTCTAAAGGCCTCCCACTTGCCAGAGGTCCCTTTGCCTGCAAACAAACCACTCCAATCAACCCCTGCGAGCTCCTGTCTAATTCCATTAAAATTCTCCTTGCCCCAATTTAGAACTTGAACCGGTGGGCCAGTTTTGTCCCTCCCCGTAGCTATTTTAAAATTAATAGAACTATGGTCATTGGTCCCAAAGAGCTCCCTGACTGTCACCTCAGTCACCTGTCCCACCCTATTTCCCAAGAGTAGGTCAAGTTTTGCCCCTTCCCAAGTACATAATCCCTGAGGAACCTTTCCTGAACACACTTAACGAATTCCACCACATCTCAGCCCTTAATACCATGGCAGTCCCAGTCTATGTTAGGAAAATTAAAATCCCCTACTATGACAACTCTATTTCGTCTGCAAGTCTCCCCAATCTCCCTGCATTTTTGTTCCTCCAATTCCCGTTGACTCTTTGGGGACATATATTGCAACTTCAATAACGTCACCATCCCCTTCTTATTTCTTAGCTCCACCCACGAAGTCTCACTGGATGATCCCTCTGTTATTTCATCTCTGACTACTGCTGTGATACTCCCCTTAATCAAAAATGCAACTCTCCCTCCCGTCTTTCCTCCACCTCTGTCCCACCTAAAGCACATGAAGTTGCCAGTCCTGTCCCTCCCTTAGCCATGGATCCCAGTCTCACGTACCTATCCACACCCTGAGTTCATCAGCCTTACCTGTCAGCTCTCTCGCATTGAAATAGATGCAATTTAATCCAACAGGCATTCCTCGCTCCCTGTCCTGTTCCAGCCTGACCTGTCTCTTCAACTTGCTATTTCCGATTACTGTATCTCCTTCCAGCCTCGCACTTGACTCTGTGCCGTTGAGGATCCTGCCCCTGCCCCTGCACCGCTGCGCCGCGACCCCCACACCCCCCACCAATCTAGTTTAAAACCTCCCTTGCAGCACTAGCAAATCTGCCTGCCAGGATATTGGTCCCTCTCCATTTCAGGTGCAACCCGTTCCTCTTGAACAGGTCACTTTTGCCCCAGAAAGGATCCCAATAATCCAGGAATCTGAATCCCTGCCCCCTCCACCAATTCTTTAGCCGTGCATTATGAGGGAAATGTATTAGAGTGTCAGCTCATGCAGGTGAAGAATCAGAATGGCCAGAAACTGAACTGGACTCACTATATACACAGTGGCTACAAGAGCAGGTCAGAGGCTGGGAATTCTGCATGAAGTAACTCATCTCCTGACTCCCCAAAGCCTGTCCACCTTCGACAAGGCACAAGTCGGGAGTATGATGGAATACTCCCCACTTACCTGGGTAAGTGCAGCTCCAACAACACTTGAGAAGCTTGACACCATCAGGACAAAGCAGCCTGCTTGACTGGCACCACATCCACAGCATCTACTTCCTCCACCACTGATGCTCAGTAGGTGCAGTGTGTACTATCTACAAGATGAATTGCACCAACTCACCAGGGCACCTTAGATACCATCTTCCAAACTCACAACCACATCCATCCAGGAGGACAAAGGCATGGGAACACCTCCTAACATGGAAGATACAATAGGAGCAACATATCCTTGAAGTACCCCTCCAAGCCATGCATCATCCGGACTTGGAAATTTTTTGCTATTCCTTCATTGTCATTGGGTCAAAATCCTGGAATTCCCTTCCTAAGGGCATTGTGGGTCAACCTGCAGCACACAGGACAGAAGTAGTTCAAGAAGGCAGCTCACCCCCACCTTCCCAAGAACAATAGGATTGGAAGTAAATGCTGGGCCCAGCCAGTGACACCCACATTCTCTAAAAATAGAAGACAATGGTTGAAGAAAAATCTGAGGAAGGATCACCGGACCTAAAACGTTAACTCTGATTTTTCCTTCACAGGTGCTGCCAGGCCTGCTGAGCTTTACCAGCAACTTCTGTTTTTGTTCCTGATTTACAGCATCTGCAATTCTTCCTGTTTTTTTTCAGAAGGCAGTGGTTGCTCTGAGTGCGTGGAGCTTCGTGGGAACATGCCAGAAGTCAGGGTCAGAGAAAGGAGTGTACATGTGGGATGTCGACAAGAAACTGGGAGTTATCTGAGCAGAGAACAGAGTTGCGTTTACTCTCACTGTCCATGGTGTACTGGGGTGTGCACGTCCCCCATGGATTCACTGGTAAGGGGTATTTGGGGCCGGTGTGAATGGCACATGAGAGGTTTCAAAGAGTCATTGAGTTCTTCACATCCTCATTTACAATCCTCGGCCCTGAGCATGTCTCGTCAAGTATCCTATCGCTATATATGTGTAATAACAAAACTCAAATACAAATCAACACAACATGCCTTGACAGAAATTTTGGCATGAAATCCAGTTGCTTTTATCTCCCTGAGGATCTGGGACAACTCACCAATGCAGTCCTGAGCAGGGCTGAGCTCAAATCCTTCACTACAATCAGTGATACACTGGAAGGAGCCAGCAATATTCTCACATCTTTTGCTCCCACAGATGGTTGGATATTCAGTGCACTCATCAAGATCTGTTACATGAAAAAAAGATAGAGACATAAAATAAATTCTGGGCACAGACAGTCACAGTTGATCATTGCTAAAAGTTCAGGAGGCAGGCAGAGATGAGTCACTATGCAAGCCTGAGGCTTGCTTTATGCAAAAGCTAGTTTCAATTTTGTGTGAGAGCAAGACTGAGACCGAACGAGAGCGAGACCGAGTGAGAATGAGCGAGAGCGAGACCGAGAACGAGATCCAGTTACCATGGACACAGTATGTACGGAATCAATGTTGTGGATTTTTAAGTGGGATGGAATGCAGTGAGATTGGGAGCCAGTGTTTATGAGATTCAGTGCGAATAGTATCTCATTGTGGGTGGTCAGTATCCAATGGGGTAGAATCCAGTTGGCAATGGATCCAGTGAGGGTGTGAAACCATCACTGAAAACACTCACAGAGCAGTGAGTAGAAACATCATTAAAAAAGCTGCTAAATCCCTGGGTAAGGAAAGGTCAGACACTTACCAAAACACTGGGATCGATCTTCATCAACGAGGAATCCAGGCTCACACACACACTCAAATGACCCAACTGTATTGGTACAGCTCCCACGATCACAGACACCCGGCTGTGTGCACTCATCAACATCTAATGGAAATGAAAGGAACACTGAGAGATGGGTTAAGCGAGGGGGAAAACAAACGAGGAAGGTGAGGGGAGGAGAGGAGGGGGAAAAGCATTGAGAGACTGAGAGACAGAGAGAAAGAGAAACAGAGTTTGGGGAAGAGACAAGGGGTGGGCACATTTAGAGAAACAGAGTGAGAACAGGAGATGGGGAAGAGAGAGAGAGAGAGAGAGAAAGAGACTGAATGAAAGAGCAGAAAAATAAGAATGAAGGGAGACAGAGGAAAATGAAAGAACAGGAGTGAGGGGAATGAGAAAATCATAAAATGGGGAGTGAGAGAAAATCAGAGGAACAGAGATAGAGAAAGCTAAATGAGGACTTCATATGATCCCACTGTTTAACAGCCTTTACTTTTTTTAAGTTAAGGGACCCACACAAAGAGGCAAAGATGCAGGAACCCAGCAAAGGTGAAGCTCACACTAATCGGGAAACGACGCAGAGTTAGAATTTCTGGAAAACCAATGCAATGGAGAACTCAAGACCAATAACAAGAATGGAGGGAGATAAAGGGAGAGAGAATCAAAAGGAGGGCATTGGTTGAAGAGGGAGAAAGTGTTTCCTAAAGGAGAGAGAGTAATGACATGGAGGATGGAGTGAAAGCAGGAGAGAGAGAGGAAGTGAAAAATGTAAACATTCATGTATCAGAATCAATGCTGGATAACATAGGTGTCTCACCGAGACAGGTGGAGAGATCAGCAGAAGTAGTGAATCCCTCAGCACAGAGGCAGGTGTAGGATCCCACACTATTCAAACATTCCCCGTATGGAGCACAGAAATCTCCCTCAAAACATTCGTTGATATCTGAAAAACCATAAACAAAATATCACAGTGAATCCACAGTGCCCTTTTACTTAACCTCACTGATTTTTAGAAAAGCTAATTGGAGATAAAATTAACAGTTACTTGGTAAAGCAGGTTAAAAGATGAAAGTTAGCACAGATTTGTTACAGCAATGTAATTGAGTTTTTGGATGAAGTAACAGAGGATGTTAGAACATAAAACATACAACAGTACAGCACGGGAATGGGCCCTTCGGCCCCCAATGTGGTGCTGAACATGACGCCTGCCATTGGTCCATATCCCTCCATTCCTTGCATATTCATGTGCTTGTCTAAAAGTTCCTTAAATATCCTTATTGTATCTACCACCACCCCCACACCTGGCAATGCGTTCCAGACTCCTACCACTCTTTGTGTAAAATACTTACTCCTCACATCTCCTTTGAACTTTCCCTTTCTAACCTTAAATGCGTGACCCCTAGTATTAGGCCTTTCATGACTGGGATAAAGATTCTGACCATCAACCCTATCTATGCATCTCATAATTTTATAGACTTCTATCATGTCTCCCCTCAGCCTGCACCACTCGAGAAAACAACCCGAGTTTTTCTAACCTCTCCTTATAGCTCATACCCTCTAATCTAAGTAGCATCCTGGTAAATAAAAACCAAAAGAACTGCGGATGCTGTAAATCAGGAACAAAAACAAAGTTGCTGGAAAAGCTCAGCAGGTCTGGCAGCATCTGTGAAGAAAAGGTCAGAGTTAAGGTTTCGGGTCCGAAGGAAGGGTCACTGGATCAGAACGTTAACTCTGGATTTTTTTTCTTCACAGATGCTGCCAGACCTGCTGAGCTTTTCCAGTAGAGATAGTAAGAACTGCCGATGCTGGAGTCAGAGATAACACAGTGTGCAGGTTGAGCACAACAGGCCAGGCAGCATCAGAGGAGCAGGAAAGCTGACGTTTCGAGTCGGGACCCTTCTTCAGAAATGGGGCTTTGTTTTTGTTAGCATCCTGGTAAGCCTCTTCTGCACCCTCTCCAAAGCCTCTACATCCTTTCTCAAATATGGCGAACAAAATTGAACGCAATACTCTGAATATCGCCTAAACAAAGTCTTATAAAGCTGCAACATGACATCCTGACTTTTGTACTCAATTCCCCAACCAATAAAAGCAAGCATGCCGTATGTCTTCTTTACCACCCTATCTACTTATGTGGCCGCTTTCAGGGAGCCATGGACTTGAACATCAAGATCCTTCTGTGCTTCAATGCTGTTCAGAGTCCTGCCATTAACTACATACTTTTCCTTAACATTTGATCACCCAAAGTGTAGCAGCTGACAATTACCCAGATTAAACTCCATCTGCCATTTCACCGCCCTTATCTGCAACTGATCTATATCCCACTGTATCCTTTGACGAGCTTCCACAACTCCACCGAACTTTGTATCGTCTGCAAACTTACTAACTCACCCATCTACATTTTCATCCAAGTCATTTATATATATCACAAACAGCAGAGGTCCCAGTACTGATCCCTGCAGAACACCGCTAGTCACGGACCTCCAGCCTGAAAAACACCCTTCCATTACTACCCTCTGTCTTCTATGGGCAAGCCAATTTTGAATGCACATGGCCAAGTCACCATGTATCTCATGCATCTTAATCTTCTGGATGAGCCTACCATGATGAACCTTGTTGAAAGCCTTACTAAAAGCCATGCAGACAAAATCCACTGCTCTATCCTCATCAATCACCTTCATCACCTCCTCAAAAAAATACAATCAAGTTAGTAAGACATGACCTGCCCTGCACAAAGCCATGCTGACTGTCCCTAATTAGGCCATGCTTTTCCAAAATGTGCATAAATGTTATCCCTAAGAATTCTCTCCAATAGCTTCCCAACCACTGATGAGAGACTCACTGGTCTGTAGTTTCCTGGATTATCCCTATTTTCCTTCTTGAACAGAGGAACATTAGCTACTCGCCAGTCCTCCGGGACCTCTCCAGTGGCTAGTGAGGATACAAAGGTCTTGGTCAAGGCCCCAGCAAGCTCCTCTCTTACCTCTCTCAATAAGGTGGGGTAAATACCATCGGGCCCTGGGGACCTATCCACCTTAATGCTCTTCAAGAGATCCAACACCACTTCTTTCTTGATCTCAAAATGCCCGAGCATATTAGCATGCTCTGCACAAATCTCACTATCCTCCACATCCTTCTCCTCAGTGAATACCAAAGCAAAGTACTCATTTAGGGTCTTGACCACATTCTCTGCCTCCAAGCACAAGTTCCCTCCTTTATCTTTGAGCGGTCCTACCTTCTCCCTAGTTACTCTGCCATTCTAGTGAATTTCCCTGCAAGGATATGGATTCCCCTCCAGTCTGGGTGGATCCCATCCCTCTTATACAGGTCACCCCTGCCCCAGAAGAGGTCCCAATGATCTAAGAACCTGAAACCCTGTCCCCTGCACCTGCCTCCTTAGCCACTCATTCATCTGTCCTATCTTTCTATTCCTTGCCTCACTAGCACATGACACTGATAATAATCCAGAGGTTACTCCCCTCGAGGTCTTGCTTTTCAGCCTCTTTCCTAACTCCCTGTACGCACTCCACAGGACCTCATCCTTCTTTCTACCCATGTCATCAGTACCAATATGCACCATGACCTGTAGATATTCACCCTCCCCCTTAAAAAATTCATGCAACTGCTCAGAGACATCCTTGACGCTGACACCAGGGAAGCAACACATCATCCTGGAATCTCGGACACAGCCACTGAAACACTTGTCTGTGCCCCTAACTAGTGAGTCTCTGATCATTATTGCTCGCTTGGATCTTACCCGACCCTGTACTACAGCAGAGTCAGATTTGGTGCCACAGGCCTGGCTGCTGATTTTATACTCCCCTGACAGGTTATCCCCCCAACAGTATACAAAAACTGTATATCTGTTACAGAGGCAGCAGCCATAGAAGACTCCTGCACTGCCTGCCTTCCTCTCCAGGCAGTCACCCATCCACCCGACTAAACCTGTGGTGTGACCACCTCCCCGTGACTAGGACCTATCACACTTTCTGCCCCTCCCCGTATGCTCCTCAGTGTGACTAACTGCCGTTCCAACCGAACGACGTGATCTGTGAGTAGCTGCAGCCAGCCACACTTCCTGTAGACATTGTCATCAGGGACACTAGACTGCTCCCATGTTACTGAGAGTCATGTCATTAATGTGGTGTGCATGGACTTCCAAAAGGCATTTGACACAGTGTGACACAACAGACCTGACAGCAAAGTTACAGCTCATGGGAAAAATAGGGACAACAGTAACATGAACACAGAATTGGCCCAGTGATGGCCAACAGAGTGTGGTGGAAAATATTTGTATTTCAGACAGGATGATGTTTACAATATGTCAGGGCTCCTGCTTTTCTTGATCTATATTAATGACCTAAGCCTTGTGTGCGCAGGGCACAACTTCAACATTTACCGCGAACACAAAGCCTGTGAGCGCTGTGAACCGTGAGGGGGAGAGTGATAAACTTCAGGAGGATATGGGCATCTGCTGGAATGAGTGGACAAGTGGCAGATAAAATTTAACAGAGAGAAAGTGTGAAGGGATTCATGTTGGCAAGAGAGACAATCTAAAGTAATGAGTACAATTCAAAAATGGCTACGGGGCAGAGAATCCTGGGGGTTTATATATTCAAATTACAAAAGGTTGTAGGAAAGGTTGAGAGCTCAGTTAATAAGGTATATGGAATCCTGGGCTTTATTAATAGGGACATAAAATACAAAAACAATTTTTAACAAACTTGCTTAAAACACTGATTCAGTCTCAGTTGGTGCATTGTGTCCAAATCAGGACACCATCCTTTAGGGAGGATGTAAAGGTGTGAAGAGAAGGTGCAGAAACGATTCCTGAGAATGGTTCCAGGGATAAGGACCTTTAGTTATGAGTGGTTAGTGCAACTGGTTAGGGTCTGGAATTATAATGCCTAGGAGTGTTGTAGAGGCAGGTTCACTCATGAATTTCAAGAGATACTTGGATCTGAAAATATAGAGATTGGCAGGGCTACATGAACACTTGAGGGTGAGGAATATGAAGTTTATCTCACAAAGAGCCAGTACAGAGATGATAGGTTGAATGGTCTCCTTCCGAGCTGCAACTATTCTTTGATTGATAAAGATGCTGTTCTGCATCACATGTCAATTCTTCACATTCCACATTTAAAGACACGTTTCTGACAAAGAGACGGTTAATCCAGAACCAATTCAGCCTGACTGTGCAAACATTCACTGTGATCATTCCACAGCAAGAGGAACGTACACGTCTGTAGCTCCTTTCGACATCCTCATGATATATCAGTAGCTCTACAGCAAATACATTATCATAGAAGTGTAATGATTCTAGTAACGGAGCAAACAGTCAACTGTGCACAGCAGGATCCCACCAAAAGCTACTGAGTTCAGTGAAGACCACATTCAGTTCTGTGTAAAGAATGTGTTGGAATGCTGGGAGAAACTGCAAATATTTCAGTATTGGTTTCAAATTTTCTACAGCTGAGTACAGCCTCAGTTTACACAATTCTGGGACTTTGTGTCAGTCTGAGTCAAACCTGCACATCGATTGCCATCAGCACTTTGCCGATATCCAGGGTTACAGTCACATTGGTACGATCCCTCTGTGTTCACACATCTTCCAGAATTCCCACACGGTGCAGCATTTACACACTCATCAATATCTGTAACAACACACAGACAATCAGGCTGCACTTGGTACATTTTAATCCTGACATCAGTTTGTTTATTCATGGGGAGAGAGTACAACTAGCGGGCTGCCATGTGGCATTACAGCACAACGATTTAATGATTGTAATATTGATAATGAAGAATCTAACAGCTTTTCAAATAATTTGTACAGTTTTCTATAGATTATTTATACTTTTTGGGGTGTGTGCTGGTCTTGCAATAGAAGAGTGGGAGATTAATTCCCTACCAGACCCCATGCCATACCTTGTTGTTGAGGTGTTGATGGGGACAGTGTGGAGGAAGTTTTACTCTGCATCTAACCTCATCCTATCTCTGTTCTGGGAGTGTTTGATGCTGCTTTCCCCTTCTGCCTCAGGGTATTGTTACCATTATTTGGCTTGAAGCTGTAAGTGAATTAGAGGCTCTCATTACCTGAACACTTTCTATTCTGGATTCTGTAGCCAGTTGGACAGGGCAGGCAGCGGAATGATCCAACTGAATTCACACACTCTGCGTTTGGACACGTGGATATATCCAGACACTCATCGATATCTGAAAAGGTGTAAAAAGAATGGAGAACAGACTGAAGTTAGAAATTCACTCTCCACATCGATGTAATTATTATTAGTGAGGCAGAATCGGTCGGTGTGTGAGAAAGAGACTGAGCCTGGAGTGTTCACAGGTGGTTTCATTCTGGGACTGTAGGTCTGAGGTCTGATGCTTTCCCTCCATTTCTCTCCATGTTGTCACAGCGAATATTATTATTCCTCATTCTGCAACAATGATGATTTACCCATTCTCCCAAATCCCAGCTTCTGATCAATTAATCTCTGGGCCCTTATGAACCTTTTTTGGAGCTTCAGGATGGCAGATCATCAGAATGTGTCAGTCTCTAAAACCCATTTGCCACCTTGTGAATGGCAAGTTTTCAGACTGGACTCTGAGCTTGAGCCTTTTGTGTGATCCTTTTTTAAATTAATTCTCGCGGGTGTCATTCATGTCACTCATTCATGTGGTGTTGCTCCTAAGCCAGCATTTTCTGCCCATCCCTAGTTGCCCAGAGGGCAGTTAAGAATCCACCATATTGCTGTGGGTCTGGAGTCACATGTAGGCCAGACCAGGTAATGTGGCAGCTTCCTTCCCTAAAGGACATTACTGAACCAAATGGGTCTTCCGACATCATCACTAGAACTTTACTTCCAGATTTTTATTGAACTCAAACTCTGTCATCATAGTGGATTTGAACCTGGGTCCCCAGAACATTACCTGGGTCTTTGGATTAATATCCCAGCAATAATACCAACAGGCTGTTGCTCCCCCAAGTCCCATCCTGTCACACGCAAAATCATCTACCAGACCCTCCATGTCTCCGGTTTTTTTTGCTGATATTGAGTTTCTGAGGTAGGAGGTGAGTGAAATGTGTAAAACTCCTCAGTGTCAGATTTATAATGAGGACAAATTATTGATTACCGACACAATCTGTCCTGTGGGAATTGGCTGAAAACCCCTTGGAACAGGCACAATGGAAACTGCCGACTGTGTTCACACATCGACCATTGAGGCATGGCCGAGGTCTCACTCTACATTCGTCAGTATCTGCAAGAAACACAGAAACCATCAGCCATCTGCTTCAAAACCAAAATGGCCCAATAAATCTCAGTCCCTGTTCCTCAATCCCTACCGAGGCTTGCACACTCAAGCTCCATGTACCCCCTGCTCCCAGCTGATCCCACTCCCTTCCCCCTGCCTCCCACACATCTTCTGCACTATCCCCCACCCTCCCAAACTCTTCTAGCCTCCATATCCCACTCCCCTCCCAACACAACCACCTCCCCACAGGGTGGGAGCTGGAAGCTAGGCCGTCTAGGTAATTCGGCCTCAGTACTCCTCTAAGCAGCAAAACCCCTCTCTGAGCCATTTGAACTGGATCCTAGTGATAAACAAACATCAATCTCGTTGACAGCACTGACAGCCCCTGCTGCTTTGCTGAGCACGGTTTGATTCTCTGCTTGGCTCACTCACCAACACAATGCGAGCGCTCCAAGTTCAACTGGAAACCAGTGTTACATGCACATGTGTAACCAAGCTGGCGGATCACACAGTGTCCTGGCCCACAGATCTGCGGCATCCGATGACAGATGTGAACCTCAGGAGCTGCACATCAAGAAGGACACAGCAACTGTAAACAGCATTGGGGAGTGAGACACACACACAAACGCGCGCACACTCACACGCGCACAGGGCTACAGTTAGCAAGTCAGAGAGAAAGACTGAGCAACAGAAAGGCAAAAAGTGGAAGAGAGAAAATATAAGGCAAAGAAAAAACTGAAATGGAAAGGAGGAGGAAAGAAAAATGGATGAATAGAAGGGGAAACACAGACATAGTGAAAGTGAGAATAAGAATGAGAGAGCGCGAGAGTGAGAGAGCGAGAAAGAACTAGAGAGACAGAGAGCGAGATACAGCGCGCACATACACGAGAGCGAGATACATCACGCGCATACACGAGAGCGAAAGAGCGCGCGAGGGGGAGAGAGAGAGCACGCGCGAGGGGGAGAGAGAGAGAGAGAGCACGCGCGAGGGAGAGAGAGATAGAGCACGCGCGAGGGGGAGAGAGAGAGAGAGATAGAGCACGCGCGAGGGGGAGAGAGAGAGAGAGATAGAGCACGCGCGAGGGGGAGAGAGAGAGAGAGA